ATAACAGTTAATATTTTTAAATAAGTTGTAAAATTTTCATATTTATTTTTTTAGTTAAATTATATATGGAATATTAATTTCGTTTTTGATATAATTTGGAAACATTAACATTTTCTAAAAATAATACTTTACATTTAGTATATCTAAAAAGACAATAATGTTTTGTTAATACTACGTTTTTATTTTTGATTTTCCATTTCTATAATAGTTAACATTTTTATGTCATTTGTAAAATGTTAATACTTATTTTGTTATTTAAATTATATATGGAATATTAATTTCATTTTTAATATAATTTGGAAACAGTAACATTTTATAAAAATAATAAACTAATATAATGATGTGTCATTATACGATTGGAGGACTTAAATCCTATGTGTACGTTCTCAATGGCTTATAGCCTCAACTTTTATATAGTATAGATTCTATATATTTGTCTGTTAGATATTTACCAAAAAACAACCAAAAATTATTCACTTGTATCCAAAACTGGCTCTATCAAAGTGGGCCTGAGAGATTTGGAGTGTGTAAGTGGGCCTATTGATAGTGCAACAATAAGCTAGAATAATTGATTGCACAGTCATCATTTAATGTTATTTAATAAAATATTTTTAAGGATAAAAAAAAGAAGAGATAAAGTCGTGAGTGAGTGCAGTGTATCACTATCGAAAAAGGTTATTTATTATTATTATCCATAAGAAAACCCCTTGAAACACTCCACTCAACTCTCGTCACCTGTCTCTCTTACCTCTTACCTCTACTCTAGGGTTCTTCTCAAGCTTTCCCTCTCCGATCCGTTTTCTTCTCTCCAAGCTCAGGTCTGAACATCTCTCATCCTTATATAGCTTTCTTTGATACGGTCCACTCTCTTTTCGATCTACTTTTCATTAGATTTGTCGTGTAGCTGTTAGGTTGATTTATTGTTGTTTCCTTTTTTTAGATCTGCTCATTCGAAAGAATAGCTGATTAATTTTGAATCTGATATTAGGTAAAAGATGCAAGCTGTGATTCGTTCGTTTGTGTCCGGTGGAAATGTTGTTAGATCATCTCTGCTGCAACATGTCCGTGTGATTAACCCTGCGATTCAGCCTTCTGTGTTGTCTTCACGCTTTGAGTCAACTCAGCCTGCTCGCATGGAGGAGCATGGATTCGAGAGTACTACTATTTCTGATGTTATGAACGCTAAAGGCAAAAGTGCTGATGGATCTTGGCTTTGGTGTACTACTGATGACACTGTCTACGATGCTGTTAAATCCGTATGTTAAATCAAAATCTCTCTCTCTTTGTATTTTCAAAAGTTCTTATTTATAGTGAGTTGGTTTTGGTTTAGATGACACAACACAATGTTGGTGCCTTGGTGGTTGTGAAACCTGGTGAGAAACAGTCTCTTGCTGGAATCATTACAGAGAGAGGTGAGACAATATTTGATTGTTAATGAAAGTTCTTTTTGTTTTGTTTGTTCCATTTTCATCTGTTTTGACATTGCTGTATCTTTTAGATTATCTGAGGAAGATCATTGTGCAAGGGAGATCATCTAAATCTACAAAAGTAGGGGACATTATGACTGAAGAGGTATGGAATCACTGATGGAAAATTATAAGATTTAATTGCTTTTTTGGGGAGTGAGCTGAATTGATATGTGAATTGGTAATTGCAGAATAAGCTTATCACTGTGACACCAGAGACCAAAGTCTTGAGGGCTATGCAGCTCATGACAGGTAAAGAGATATTTTCTCTATTAAAGATGCATACTTTTTGTGATTAAAACCTACTGAGGCAAGTTAAAAAAAACTCGGTTTGTGACTGTTGTGTGTACAGATAACAGGATCAGGCACATTCCAGTGATCAAAGACAAGGAAGGTATGATAGGAATGGTGTCCATAGGAGATGTGGTCCGTGCAGTGGTGTCTGAGCATCGTGAAGAGCTCAACCGCCTAAATGCGTTTATCCAGGGAGGTTACTAGAAGACGCTACCCTTGCGCGTGGTGGTGTGATGAATCTCGAAAGCTTTAAGATGTGTGTATATATTATGGAGTCTTGGTTGTTTGTCTGATGTTTGTTGTTTTTAATCTGCTGTTTCAAGTGGTTTAACTTGCTAAGACTAAGCTCTTTGTGCTTTCCCTTCTTTTATGCTACCCTGCAAGATAATAAAAACAAAGACTCCCATCTCTTTTTGGAATTATTATCTATCAATGTTTAATTTCCTTAGAAACTAAGCTTTATCGGATGTGCGCTTCTGTTTCGGAACCATATGGAAGTTTGCGGAATCTCGATTACAAAACGTTTCTAAAATATCATATATAAAAACACGTTGGAAGCTTACGATTTCATTTTGGAATCACGCTTTCAATTTTAAAAACACAATATCATATATAAATAAATAAAATATAATTTTTTTTTTATTTTTTTATAATATATAATAATATATATAGTGAGAATATATATATATGTAAATCCTAATATTAATACTACAAATCATATGTATGCACTATTTTTATTAGAAATATATCATATATATATATATATATTCAAATCTTGTGTGCCAATTATTTATTAAATGTAAAAATAACTAATTCGTAGTATTTGTTTATTAATTTAATTTAATCGTATTTTCACAGTTATAATATGCAATCATTTAAAATTATGATAAATTAATAAAAGCTTTAGTTTAAATTAAAATCATTTAAATCTTAGTTATAAATTTTATAAAATTTTCTTATATATATATATATATATATATATCTGGATATACGCTTCCTAGTTTTTTAAAAAATCTCGATTCCGCGCTTTCATATGATTCTGCTTCCGCGTTTCCGTTTCCATAGCATAGTAGATTCTACTAGCATAGTAGATGGCGCTCAACTTCCTGCTTAGAAATCCATCATATTGAACAAAAAAACATAACAAAGGTAGAGAAAAAAAAACAAACACTTGCTTTTAGTTTATTATCTAAACTTGGGTTTATGGTACTGTGGGCTCATCAATGTAAGCTCATTAATGGAAAACTTATAAAATGGCTTCATAAGTAGCATCAATGTAAGCCCATTAATGGAAAACTTATAAAAAGGCTTCATAACTAGTTAGTGACGTGGCGAATAATGAATGGTTAACTAGAGTCGAACCGGAAAGATCAAACCGGGGATGTATCCCACATTACAACCGTCCCGGGGTCTTCGTCTCTCTCGAAGAGTATAAGATAATTAACAAACTGTAAAGCGTAGCTTCAGATCTGCTCATTTTTCTTCCTTCTTTCCTTTCCGGGCCATGGCTATGGAGTCTCGGAGATCCACGATCGCCTTCCTTATTCTACTCTTCATCCACGCCGCTCACTCTTTCTATCTCCCAGGTGTCGCTCCCCAGGATTTCGAAAAGGTAAAAAAAAAAAAAACGTTCGAATCTATGCTCCTAGGATTCTAGATCTGAATTGGATCTCCTCGATCTGAGCTTATAATGTTGATTACCGTTAGGATTAGTCAGTACTTGATGCACCGACATTTTGATTAAGCTTCAGCTTTACGATTTAGCAATCTCTCGATCTGAACACTTGGCGGCAGTTTAGAGAAGCTATATTGATTTGATTGTTTCTGTTAGGTTGTTAGGCCATCCGCATTGGTGAGTCTCTCACCAGAGTCTCTGAAATTAGAAACTCTCTTAGTGATTGAGGGAAAAAAAGAGAGAATCATATCCGTATTTGGGTGTTTTATTGGATTTTTCTTCTGTGTTTGCAGGGTGATGAGCTGAAGGTTAAAGTGAATAAATTAACCTCAATCAAGACTCAGCTTCCATATTCGTATTACTCTCTTCCTTTTTGCCAACCAAAGAAGATTGTGGATAGTACTGAGAATCTTGGAGAAGTGCTTCGTGGTGACCGGATCGAAAATGCCCCATACTCGGTTTGTCTTTATTGCTTGTTTGGGAGTTCTTTAAATGATCATTCTGAACTTTATCTCTAACCTTTGTTAATAACGACTGCAGTTTAAAATGCGGGAGGCACAGATGTGTAATATTCTCTGCCGGGTCACTCTTGATGCGAAAACAGCCAAAGCGTTTAAAGAAAAGATTGATGATGAGTACCGTGTCAACATGTAAGACCGAAAATAGTAACTTCTCATTGTGTGGAGAACATAAGTCTTCTTCTGTCAGTTTTCTTAAAAGACTTTTCTTGTGTGTGTGTGTGTGTGTTAGGATACTTGATAATCTTCCACTTGTGGTTCCAATCGAAAGAGTGGATCAGGGCTCTCCCGCTGTTGTTTATCAGCTTGGATATCATGTTGGTCTTAAAGGCCAGTATGAAGGGGTAAGTAGGTTTTGATTTTCAACAGTATTTCAAATGTGATGTGAAGTAGCTCGTTTCTTTTCTAAATTGCGTTTTGTGTATACACAGAGCAAAGAGCAGAAGTTCTTTATGCACAATCATTTGGCATTTACAGTCCGATATCACAGAGATGTTGAAACTGATGCTGCGAGGATTGTTGGATTTGAGGTTAAACCTTACAGGTGCATTTCTTGTCCATAATTTGAATGTGTCTTGGGGCCCTTCTGTTTTTCAGGATTGATAGTCTTCCCCTTGATTTTTAGTGTTAAGCATGAATACGATGGAGAGTGGAGTGAGAAGACCCGTCTCACAACCTGTGATCCTCACAAAAAGCGCCTGGTCGTTAGCTCGGCTACCCCTCAAGAAGTTGAACAAAAGAAGGAGATCATCTTCACTTATGATGTTGATTTCCAGGCAAGTATTTCTTGATGAAAAAGGCAATCTGCGTTAAACAAATGCAATGGAGTTTTTGTTCTCAATAGCTTTCTGATTCCCTGCTGCTGCTCCCTTTCAGGAAAGTGAAGTGAAATGGGCATCTAGATGGGATGCTTATCTTCTGATGAATGATAACCAAATTCACTGGTTCTCTATTGTTAATTCTCTGATGATCGTCCTGTTCCTGTCTGGTATGGTGGCGATGATAATGCTGAGGACCCTTTACCGTGACATTTCAAGATACAACGAGCTCGAGACTCAAGAAGAAGCTCAAGAAGAGACAGGGTGGAAGCTTGTCCACGGTGATGTTTTCAGAATCCCAACCAATTCTGATCTCCTCTGCGTCTACGTTGGTACAGGGGTCCAATGTTTAGGCATGGTACTCGTCACAATGATCTTCGCCATGCTCGGGTTTCTCTCCCCTTCCAATAGGGGTGGTCTGATGACAGCCATGCTTCTGCTCTGGGTCTTCATGGGACTTTTTGCTGGTTACGCTTCCTCACGTCTCTACAAAATGTTCAAAGGAACAGAGTGGAAGAGAATCGCCTTCAGGACAGCCTTCTTGTTCCCTGCAGTTGTCTCAGCCATCTTCTTTGTCCTAAACGCTCTCATCTGGGGACAAAAGTCATCTGGTGCTGTCCCCTTCGGAACAATGTTTGCCTTGATCTTCCTCTGGTTTGGCATCTCGGTTCCACTCGTCTTTGTTGGTGCTTACCTCGGTTTCAAGAAACCAGCGGTTGATGACCCAGTGAAAACCAACAAAATCCCAAGGCAAATCCCAGAGCAAGCTTGGTACATGAACCCGGTTTTCTCAATCCTCATTGGAGGAATCCTACCTTTCGGTGCAGTCTTCATCGAGCTCTTCTTCATCCTCACATCCATCTGGCTCAACCAGTTCTACTACATCTTCGGGTTCCTCTTCCTCGTCTTTGTAATCCTCATCGTCACTTGCGCCGAGATAACAGTAGTACTCTGCTACTTCCAGCTTTGCAGTGAGGACTACTTGTGGTGGTGGAGATCTTACCTAACATCAGGCTCATCAGCTCTATATCTATTCCTCTACGCGACGTTCTACTTCTTCACAAAGCTTCAGATCACAAAACTGGTGTCAGCGATGCTATACTTTGGTTACATGCTCATAGCGTCATATGCATTTTTTGTGCTGACAGGAACAATAGGGTTCTATGCTTGTCTGTGGTTCACAAGGCTCATCTATTCATCTGTTAAGATCGATTAGAGGAGGAGGATGATGGTGGTGGTGATTAAGGAAACGTTTCTTTTATAAAATGGTTTTGTTGCATTTTTAGGTCTATTCTTGTTGCAGAACAAAAGGATTTTATTATATATGATCGATATAATATTTGTATTTTGTTTGATTTGTCTAATAACACCATTTGTGAGAATTTTCCTATGTCATTTGTAGCGAGAATATGTGATTCATTCGTTCCAGATTATGATCATTTGGATGAAGATGATGATAAACTTTTGCTTCTTTAACGTTGGGAACTTGAGTTTTGTAGATTTGTCTAACTACACGTAAGGCACATTCCAGTGATCAAAGACAAGGAGGGTATGATAGGAATGGTGTCCATAGGAGATGTGGTCCGTGCAGTGGTTACTGAGCATAGTGAAGAGCTCAACCGCCTAAATGCCTTTATTCATCAGGGAGGCTACTAGAAGACGCTACCCTTGCGTGTGGTGGTGTGATGAATCTCGAAAGCTTTAAGATGTGTGTATATGTTCTGGAGTCTTGGTTGTTTTTGTCTGATGTTTGTTGCTTTTAATCTGCTAGCTGTTTCAATTGGTTTGTGCTTTCCCTCTTTTTTTATGCTACTCTGCAAGATAATAAAACCAAAGATTCCCATCTCTTTTTTGGAATAACAAAAAACATAACAAATGCAGATAAAAAACAAACACTTGCTTTTAGTTTATTATTTTAGCGTGGGTTTATGATACCGTGGGCCCATCAATGTAAGCCCATTAAAGGAAAACTTATGCTTCATAAGTAGTTAGTAACGTGGCGAATAATGAATGGTTGAATAGAATCGAACCGGAAAAATCAAACCGGGGATGTAAATCACATTACAACTGTCCCGGGGTCTTCGTCTCGAAAGAGTATAAGATAATAAACAAACTGTGAAGCGTAGCTTCAGATCTGCTCATTTTTCTTCTTTCGTGACCAGAAGCCATGGCTATGGAGTTTTGGAGATCCGCGATCGCCTTCCTTCTTCTGCTCTTCATGCATGCCGCTCACTCTTTCTATCTCCCAGGTGTCGCTCCTCAGGATTTCGAAAAGGTAAAAACGTTTCGAATCTATGCTCCTAGGATTCTTCTAGATCTGAATTAGATCTCCTTGATCTGAGATTTCGATTTTGCTTCTAATGTTGATTGCTGTTAAGATTAGTCAGTGTTTGATGCACCGACATTTTGATTAAGCTTCAGCTTTACGATTCAGCTATCTCTCGATCTGAACAATGTTGGCAGTCTAGAGAAGCTATATTGATTTAATTGTTTCTGTTAGATATTAGGCCATACAAATTGGTGAGTCTCTTAAATTAGAAACTCTTGCATAAGTCTCTCTTAGTGATTTAGAAAAAAAAGAAGAGAATCATATCGAAATGTGGATGTTTTATCTGATTTTTTTTTCTTTGTTTGCAGGGTGATGAGCTCAAGGTTAAAGTGAATAAGTTAACTTCAATCAAGACTCAGCTTCCATATTCGTATTACTCTCTTCCTTTTTGTCAACCAAAGAAGATTGTTGATAGTACTGAGAATCTTGGAGAAGTGCTTCGTGGTGACAGGATCGAAAATGCTCCTTATTCGGTTTGTCTTTATTGCTTTATTTGGGGTTCTTAAGAATCTAACGTTTGTTACTTTTATCTCTAACCTTTGTGGAGTTGAAAACAACTGCAGTTTAAAATGCGGGAGGCACAGATGTGTAATATTCTCTGTCGGGTCACACTTGATGCTAAGACAGCCAAAGCGTTTAAAGAAAAGATTGATGATGAGTACCGTGTCAACATGTAAGACCGAATATAGTAACTTTTGTTCGATTTTTTGTATAAAGAACCTACTTTCATTTTGTCGTTTTCTTATTTAAGTCTTTTTTGTTTGTGCTAGGATTCTTGACAACCTTCCTCTTGTGGTTCCAATCGAAAGAGTGGATCAGGGCTCTCCCGCTGTTGTTTATCAGCTTGGATATCATGTTGGTCTTAAAGGCCAGTATGAAGGGGTAAGTAGGTTTTGATTGTCAATAGTATTTCAAATGTTATGTGAAGTAGCTCGTTTTTTTCTCAATTGCGTTTTGTGTATACAGAGCAAAGAGCAGAAGTTCTTTATGCACAATCACTTGGCATTTACAGTCCGGTATCACAGAGATGTAGAAACTGATGCTGCAAGGATTGTGGGATTTGAAGTAAAACCTTACAGGTGCGTTCACTGTCCATAATTTGAATGTGTTATGGGTCCCCCCTGTTTTTCAGGATTGAGAGTCTTTCCCTTGATTTGTAGTGTTAAGCATGAATACGATGGAGAGTGGAGTGAGAAGACCCGTCTCACAACCTGTGATCCTCACAAAAAGCGCCTCGTCGTTAGCTCGGCTACCCCTCAAGAAGTTGAACAAAAGAAGGAGATCATCTTCACTTATGATGTTGATTTCCAGGCAAGTGTTTTTTAATGAAAAAAGTACTCTGTGCTTTTTGTCTTACAGATGCGATGGAGTTCGTGTTCTCAATAATTTTCTTATTGCCTGCTGCTGCTCTTTTTCAGGAAAGTGAAGTGAAATGGGCATCTAGATGGGATGCTTATCTGCTGATGAATGATAACCAAATTCACTGGTTCTCTATTGTTAATTCTCTGATGATCGTCCTATTCCTGTCTGGTATGGTGGCGATGATAATGCTGAGGACCCTTTACCGTGATATTTCAAGATACAATGAGCTCGAGACTCAAGAAGAAGCTCAAGAAGAGACAGGGTGGAAGCTTGTCCATGGTGATGTTTTCAGAATTCCAACAAATTCAGATCTGCTCTGCGTTTACGTTGGTACAGGAGTCCAGTGTTTAGGCATGGTATTTGTCACAATGATCTTCGCCATGCTCGGGTTTCTCTCCCCTTCCAATAGGGGTGGTTTGATGACAGCCATGCTTCTGCTCTGGGTCTTCATGGGACTTTTTGCTGGTTACGCTTCTTCACGTCTCTACAAAATGTTCAAAGGAACAGAGTGGAAGAGAATCGCTTTCAGGACAGCCTTCTTGTTCCCTGCAGTTGTCTCAGCCATCTTCTTTGTCCTAAACGCTCTCATCTGGGGGCAGAAGTCATCGGGTGCCGTCCCCTTCGGAACAATGTTCGCCTTGATCTTCCTCTGGTTTGGCATCTCAGTTCCTCTTGTCTTTGTCGGCGCTTACCTCGGTTTCAAGAAACCAGCGGTTGATGACCCAGTGAAAACCAACAAAATCCCAAGGCAAATCCCAGAGCAAGCTTGGTACATGAACCCGGTTTTCTCAATCCTCATTGGAGGAATCCTACCTTTCGGTGCAGTATTCATCGAGCTCTTCTTCATCCTCACATCCATCTGGCTCAACCAGTTCTACTACATCTTTGGGTTCCTCTTCCTCGTCTTTGTAATCCTCATCGTCACTTGCGCCGAGATAACAGTAGTACTTTGCTACTTCCAGCTCTGCAGTGAGGACTACCTTTGGTGGTGGAGATCTTACCTAACATCAGGATCATCAGCTCTGTATCTATTCCTCTACGCGACGTTCTACTTCTTCACAAAGCTTCAGATCACAAAACTGGTGTCAGCGATGTTATACTTTGGGTACATGCTCATTGCGTCATATGCATTTTTTGTGCTGACAGGAACAATAGGGTTTTATGCTTGTCTGTGGTTCACAAGGCTCATCTATTCCTCGGTTAAGATCGATTAGAGGATGCGGTGGTGGTGAAGGAAACGTTTCTTTTATAAAATGGGTTTTGTTGCATTTTTTTAGGTCTATTCTTGTTGCAGAACAAAAGAGTTTTATTATATGTTAACGATATAATATTTGTATTTTTGTTTGATTTGTCTAATAACACACTTTTTGAGAATGTTTCCATGACATTTGTAGCAAGAATATGTGATTCATATTTGGATGAAGATGATGTTAGACTTTTGCTTCTGTAATGGTGGGAACTTAAACGGATTTGCAGTTAGTTTAGGAGTGTTGTCGATGTCGAACAGTGTGAGGAGTGGGTACGATGAGAGAACTAACTACATGTTGTTTTCTCATAATTAGAAGAGAATATGCGTCGTTTGGATTTTCTGGAAGCACGAAGCTAGCTATTAGAAACAGCTTGTAGTTTTGTTTCATATCACGAATGAAATACACGCTGTTTAACTCACTACCACATGTCACGTGTTAAACAGAACTCTCTGTTAATTTACGCTTGCACCCCTAAGTTCTTGTTTATTATTTTGTCTTCCTCTGAAGCAGTCCCTGAATTAGTTCGTCTTCTTCGTCTTCGTCTTCGTCAAAACTATCAGTTGAGGATGGTAACCGATTTCTTCTCTTACGTTCCTTTTTACGTAGTTTAACTGATTCCTTAGTCAATCGCGTAGAAATCTTAGCATTAATTATTGGTAAGGTCAATTTGATTTCGTTTTCCGGAGAAACTAGGTTTTTGATTCCTCCTAGTTCTTATCAACTGACTATCCTCAGCTTACTCTTCGTTGCGTAGGCTAATAATCAAAACGGAAGACACACAATCATCTTGTTGCAAAACTCACCAAGCAGAGCTACGAGACCTTTATGGACTATGATTCTATAGGCCAAGCTATTGATGGTAAACTTTTTTTTAATTCCAATCAATCACCACTCTGTAAACTAGCTTATAGAGCTATCTTTAGTCTGTTGTTGACTTTTGGTTATGGTTTATGCTGAATTGCTGAGATTTTATATAGATAGTTTGTATAGTTCCGTTAGCTGTTTCTGTCAGTTTTTTTTTTAGGATGGTCAGATAACTTGCTTTTAATGTGTAAAGTTTTGAATACTTTCCTTATATATGCCTATATGTTGATCAGGTATTTGCGGTTTATACGAAAGGAAGCTGAAGGAAATCAACCCATCCCTCAGAAATCTTAGTTATGACATTACTGATCTTTACAATTTTATCGATGGTCTTACTGACTTGAGCGCTTTGGTGTAAGTCTCTCTCTCTTGGATGCTTATGTTCATTTTCGCCTTCTGCAATCAGTTTGTTGAGTGGTCCCATGTCTCTAAATGCTATGCACACTGCCAAACTGTTATTTTGTAGTCAGTTAGTTATTCGCTCACTACTGTTAATTTGCTTGAGAGTTGAAAACTCTTCTTCTTGAAACCAGTCGCTTGATCTCTTGAAAGTACTGTGTACAGATATCAGATTGTTGTATAGCAAAGCTAAGAGTGCTTTAATACTTTAGTAATTGATACTAAAAGTTCGTTTCTCTTCTTGATGGTTGCCTATACTAGTTGAGAATCATAAGTATTTGGTGGTTATATGTTGCAATGATTCTTACAAATCCACACGGTTTCTTATGCAGCTATGAACATTCCATAAATGCGTATCTGCCGTATGACAGGCAGTGGATTAAGCACAAGGCATTTCACCATCTCAAGAAACTTGCCAGTGGTGGTGGCAGATGAATAAGAGAGAAGAATCATCATTTGAAGAACATATTATATAACTTAAGAAAGGCTACTCAAACATTGTCATAATCCTTTATGTAATATTTTCCTAATGTAACTAGATATTATTATTCAAAGAATATGGTGTTGTGGTTACATTTCTGGGGTTTGCTGCAAAAGTTCCATGTGAGAACCACTTCCCAAGCTTAAGAAGATGATAATTTGATTTGAATGTGGTAACATTGAACACTAATATAGTTTTTTTTTTATAGAGTGAAATTCAAATCTGATTTGTGCAAGTTGATACTTTGCATTTCTAATCAAACATTTGATTGAGCAACTATCACTGCTTATTTATTAGTTTTTTAAATACTAATATTGGTAAAAAAACAATAACGTTAAAGACCGTGATTGGTAACACATCACTTTAATTTACTTATTCTCCGATTCTCTGTGAATGATGATTTAGCTGGACTGAGTAACACGCTGCGTTTTAGCAGCTTGGCGCTAGGAAGATAGCTCTGTAATATGCACACGCAAGGAGCCAAGGACTAACTATAAAAGTCTATAACATACCATCCAATCTCCTATATATTAAAAGAGAAACATTTAAAAAATTGTAACCTCAATTTTGTAATAATTAAAAAGAGCCCATGCTTAGGTGTCACTCAATTAGGTAGTCAATTACATTCAATTGAAAAATAAGTAGGTCCACCTTCGATTTTTATATGTCACTAGATACATTTGTTAAACAAACTATATGATATGATGATATGATATGATATTTATGATAGAAGCATTTATAATTGTTCCAGTAGATATAATTACTATTTTATTTTATTTCCTTAAATAAAATCTACAGAATTACCATAAATGACTAATATATATATATGGCAATTAATGTTTCTAATAATAAATATTTGATAACAATTTATATCTCCTCCATCATTTTTCTTTAATTTTATATTATAAATAAATTGAACAATCAAATTAGCTATAAAATTAAATTTAGATTTTTCGTATATGTTAAATTTTAAATTTTAAAAACGACAATAAATGACTAAAACTATTAAAATTATTATGTTAAAAATTAATGATCAATAGTTTAACATTTTTATTATAAAAAAGATACACATGATTTTAAAACTGTATGTGTAAAAAGTATCATTCAATAATAAAAAAAAAAAAAATATATATATATATATATATATATATATATATATATATATATAT